AAAAAAAAAAAAAATCCAAAAGGAAAACAATTTGAAGCCCACAGGGACTGCAATCATGTACAAAATCATGCACAGTTCCCAGTCTTTTCAATCCAAAACAATGACTTCTACACAACACGCTCCAGTATACATACATACACACACGCTCCTGTATACACACACTCTCTCTCTTTTGATCTATTAGGAAGCGGGCTGTGCTAACCCTGCCTGCCAGGGTCCATGCGGACGCATATCAGAGAGATGGACAAAATGCTTCTCTCTTGCCCTTTTTAACTCCCAGTGGAGCACAGGCCATCAACAACATTACTCCAGCGAGTATCAGAGAGATGGACATGCTTGCTGTTCGAACATTTTCCTCAAAGGGATCCGAAATCACGTCCTCTGCAAGCGGGGCTTATGAGCCTAATCACAACACAGCAGATCTTTGTATCATCACCATCCGAAGTAACAAAAGAAGCCGACGTGCCAAAAAAGTAACAAAAGAAGCAGACGTGCCAAAAAAGTAACAAAGTGTACATGATAGTTACAATAAAGTATGGAAACCCATTTGGTAACAAGTCTCACTACTTCAGAATGACAAAGTTCTACCTGACATTTTCTTCCCGTTTTGAGGTACAAAGACCGGGAGATCAGAAACCAACCGTTCTATCTGCTCTATCAAAATCGTAAGATTATTCGGAGTTGTTATCAAGACATTCAAAGAATTGCATTCGAAAAAGCTTGACATGATGTTATAAACTCAAAATTTCTCAAAGCTGGGTACTGAGCAGATAGAACTTTTGTCATTGTAAAGTAGCGAACTAGCAACGAAGAAAAAACAAAACAATTCTTAAACAAGAAAGAGAGAGAGATCCTGAACTTCTGGGACCCCTTGGAAATGCACATAGGGACTCAAAAATTACGGGTCATATTATTGTCTAATACATTTTGTATCAAGACTATTTTTAAATAATCGACCTGAAGTCGGGGAGAAAAATGTCGACCATTTCATAAACCAGATTTTCAGACGACTTATCAAATTTTAAAAAGTAAATAACAACCCCCCCCCCCTCCCCCTGCTCACAACATTTGTGTGCGTGCATCAACTCGCATGTTCCCTATTGCTCCCCTGTATCTACCACAGCAAAAAGCGTCATATACACAGCACACATACGTCAGTTAGCCTGAGGGAGGGAGGGAGGGAGGGAGGGAAGGTGGAATAGCTCGGGGTTTTTTTTTTTCGGTTTTGTTTTTCTCTGTATTTTTTTTATTGTTTTGTTTAAAATAATATTTATTGCGAGCGTTTCACACCTGATGGATTATGTTTCACTCACTCTGCAGTTCTTGTGCTACTCTGTGCAGTATCAGAGGATTAAACCCATCCGGACTGATGATATACTGTTAAATAAATACACACACCCGACTTCCTAATCTTATTTTCCCACACTGGCCTCTTTGTCAATTGAGTCGAGAGAAGGACATCGATTGACTCGACGATGGTCTCTTACGGCACGGAAAAAGGACAATATTATATATAAACATACAGAAACAACCGAGGGGGAAAAAAAAAAAAAAAAAAAAAAAA